TACGTTCTCGATAACCTTTTGACAAAGCTGCTTGAAAACTCTCTGTCAACAAATTAGCTTGAAATTCACATACTTTTACATACATATACCACATATACACCGAATACAAATACATTCACATACACACAAAATAGCATCCTACTTAAACCAATTACACATAATTTCACATATATAGATAATAACATCCTATTTATACCAAATACAAAATTTTCACAATCATATACCACATTTACAACAAACATACATACATTCACATACACACAATAACATCCTACATATAACAAATACATATAATTTCACATATCATATATATACTTCTACCAAATACTCATATACCACATACATCAAATATCAAATATACACACAATTTTCACATACAAATATCAAATATACACACAATTTTCACATATGGCAATTTTCACATAATTTTCACATACAAATACCAAATTCACAAAAAAATGAAAGAATAGAACCTGTAGTGGCGGAAATCCACGGATATGTAGCCGGAAAAACTGCTATTCACCCGATGAAGCTACAAATCGACAGTAAAGATGATGTTTCCTTCAACAATATGTCCTCCAACAAAACCTGGGAGCCATCCAAAATGTCACAAATCTCTTCAACAATATTAGCAAAGGCCTCCAAAGAATGTAAAAACAAATTGATCTTTAAACAATATAAGGTGAAACTTTTGGCTATATTACTGTTTCCACAGAAGTTAAACCAAAAACAATTAGATAAATGAAATGAACGGGCTGAAATCATCACAATTAAACGAAAAACTACACAAAGACCAGATTACTCTCATCATGGTTCGTACATTATCAGTTTATTAGACTGTAAATTGATGTTCTCATTCAATACGTCTTTGATTTTACTTTTATAGAAGACCTTCAATTTGAATTCATCCAGGATTCCTGATTACCCATAACATTTAATCAACCACACCATATGACAACAAACAATCAACAAGGGACAGATCAAAGTTCAAATATTAGCACAACAATGAATGTCATCAGCTTGAATAGCTGTTCACTAGCAACTAAAAAAGCTTGAAGATACACGAGAAAAAAAGCATCAACTGAAGAAAACAGGATGCATAAAGTACTAAAGTATCAATAACCATTGGGAATATGTGAACTATTCTACGTGCATTCTCACACAAACCAAATTAACAAGGAAATTATCAAATCAAATTACCTTTCTTCAAGAAATTGAGTTAGAAATCGGTCCCAAATCACACCTTCATCCTTAATATCCTTAATATGACACAATGTGGGGAGAAATCGGGATGGAACAAGCAAATTGAAGATGAACTCGGAAGAAGTTGGAAGGGGCGAAGGGTAAACAGAAAGCAGAATGGAAGAATGAAGTCTGTTGCGTGCGTTTTTTTTTATCTGCGACAGGCTTTACCGGCGACGCCTTTAGCGGCGACTAATAGGGTTTTACCGGCGACACTTATCAATAGCGGCGACAATCTGGAGGGAAGGGTACCGCGTCATTTTTTAGTGAAGTATTAGCGGTGACAATTTCAACCTTTATCGGACGGTGTAGATATAACGGAAGGGGAAAACGCACATATGTCGCCGGTATTAGGTTAGTTCGGATAAAGTGACCCCAACCGTTGGATTGGATATTTTATCGGACGGTGTAGATATAACGGAAGGGGAAAACGCGGATTCGGGTGATCATCCTTTAGCGGCGACGCTATTACCGGCGACAGGGGCTTTTAGCGGCGACAATCTCTAGTGTTGCCGCTAAAGACCTCCGTCGTCGGTAATAGCGTCGCCGCTAAAGGGTGATTTTCTTGTAGTGTGTGAGGGAATATGGCACGTGAGTTAGAGGGAGAAAGAGTGTGCAACCCTCTTAGGTTAGAGGGAGTGGTAACACTCCTGACACCTTGCCATGTCATTTTTTTGAATGCACCTCATTTTTTTGTCTTAACATCCCATTCTTGGCATTTCAAAATGAGTGGTAACACTCCTAACACTCCAATATTTTTTTTTCAAATTTAATTAAGTTATATTATTTTAATATCCAAAATATTACATCGGTTCGTAGAGAAAAAGAAACGAAAGCCAATCACACTTGTATAATGAAACCGAAACATTTAATTTTATATAGGATTTGAATTAAATTTTAATTATCTATTAAATGTATTTAAACGTCTAATAAAGACAATAGAAAAACATGGATACATTCAAACCCATTTTATTATTAATTTATAGACATAAATATTAAATAATATATGTTAGTAGACTTTATTGATTAAAGGGATAATGACTTGATAGGGTAAGATACTTTTTGAAATGTGCACATTTAGTCCTTATTCTTTTTTTTTGTAAAATAAACCCTTATATTTTATTAATATGTACACATTAGGTCATTTTCACCGGATTCTACAGGTTTTGCTGACGTGGAAGGGTTTATTTTACAAAAAAAAAAGAATAAGGACTAAATGTGTACATTTCAAAAAGTATCTTACCCTATCAAGTCATTTTCCCTTTCTTTTATTTTGTTGAAATAAAATACCCAGGTGGCATCCACATATTCACAACGAGATTTTTCCAACTTTTATTCATCATGAAAAAGAGGGAGAACCCCGATCTCCGGCGACTCCTTTGTGTGTTCCTACACGTCACTAGTAGCAAGGAGGAATGATGGAAAAAACAACAAGGTCCAAGGGGGAGGTAGGAGGAAGTAGAGACGGTAGTTGGCAGCGAGGAGTTGCTCTGGTAGCCCCCTCGTCGATTCTTTCTTCTTTTTCTGGCAACATATCTCAAAGATGGAGGCAAAGAGAGACAGATCGGAGAAACACAACAGGTAAAGGGTGTTTGGTTGTTGCTGTTCGACCGGAAGGAAGAGAGACGAGAAAGAGAAGGGTCGCCGCCCTTTTCTTGTTGCTGGAGGATCACCCACCTCCGGTGACTAAGCTAATTAATTGCTATTTAGTGCCACTTGTGCTTCCACATCAGCAAAACCTGTAGAATCCGGTGAAAAAGACCTAATGTGTACATATTAATAAAGTATAAGGGTTTATTTTACAAAAAAAAAGAATAAGGACTAAATGTGTACAATTCAAAAAGTATCTTACCATATCAAGTCATTTTCCCTAAAAGAAAATTTGTATATGACCGGTATACCGGGTATAGCCGGTCACAAGGATTGCATTGTTACAAAAAATAAAGTATAAGGGTTTATTTTACAAAAAAAAAAAGAATAAGGTCTAAATGTATACATTTCAAAAAGTATCTTACCCTATCAAGTCATTATCCCTTGATTAAACCTTCAAATTTTAAAAATTCAAACGATACCTTCATAAAGAATATAAATTTTTTTGGTCCACTTTATTCATTCAAAAAGAAGAACGTGACCCCACGCGCCACACAACAAAACAAAGCGCTCTCTCTCTCTCTCTCTCTCTTTGTCCTTTCTACTCATCTGCTACAATAAACTCAATCAATCACGCCTCCGCTAAACGCCGGTGGAGTTTTTCGCAGTAATTGAAGAAGAAGAAGGAGGGCATCAGCACTGATTTTCAGGGGGGGGCTGTTTGGTTGCCTTGTTTGACAGGAAGGGAAAAGTAGAAAATGAGAGGTTGCACCAATCAGATTACAACTCCATCCCCTCTCTCCTCTCGCTATGTATGTAGCGATTCCTCCTTGGCGACTCCCCTAGCGAATGCTAAGGGGTGGTGTTTTGTGTCCATAGCGAGGCTAACGAGCTGTCGTAGCGAGAGCCACTCCGTTTAGTCTTAAAGTACTCTCTTGTCCTTACTTCCATGATTTATGGTACTTCTTTGGTTACTGATAAAAGTTAAGCAACTTCACCTCACCTACATTTGTACTATGAAGCATGATTGTTGTAGGGAAATTAATTCATGGATGGCCCATATCGAGTAAGGGTGAGGAGGGGTACACATAGGTGTTGACTTTAACTTTAGTCCCTAGTTCTAGTTGTATTATAAGTACCGGCCTTTAAATGGAGTGTTAAATGTCAAAGAGTAGGATTTTGTGTATTCATGATGTCTAAATTTCAAGACTAACCATTTATATACACACATGTATTTTATACTTCATTTTAATCTGTTATACACTTGCCAAATAATGATAGGGTTTATTTATAGTTTATTACATATGATACTTGTATGGACTTAGGTATTTTTTTTTTATAAATCAATTCATTCACTACAAAAACATATATGTACGTATTTTGTTGACTTTATTAGCGTATACCTAGTCATGTACGAATGGTAACGTATACAAACCATCCTCATTATTAAAATATATATTTATATTTATAAGAGTATTGTACGTTAACTCCTCCGTCAAGATTAGTTATGGTCGTTGATCGACGAACATCGACCTAATTTTTACAATCGCTACAATTAGTATTGAATATGTACAAATACAACAACTTATTTTGCAACAAAAAAAATATTAAGGACTTAATGTACAAAAAAATATTAAGGACTAAATATGTACTAAATAAGAAATATATTACATTTTTAATTCATTTTTTCCGGCTTACCTAAAGTAGCCGGTCATAAAGACTAAATGTGTACGGTTAAATAGGTTGAAGTGTAATGTGAACCATAAAGAAAAAAAAAATTATATATAAATCGAAAAATATATTAACCTTTTAAGTCATTATGACGATATATGTACGGTCAATTTATATCATTATGACGGTATATGTACGGTCAATTTATACCATGTAACCAACATGTGGGACTATAATCCCATGTTACTATAAAGCTTCAACCGGTGGAATTCCATACTGAAATTCTTGGACCACTCCATCAAAATTCTTAGGCCTTTTAACAATATCGCATAGTGAATTATGAATAATGAATAGCATGTAGAATCTCATAATCGCCAGCAATTTATAGATAAGCCATTGGTAACTAAAATTTCACGTTCGTAGTTTATTTTATCAGGTACGAATTACACATGTTTTATAAATAATTAATCTAACAACCTTATAAAACATAATAACAAATATAAAATTATTTTTTTTTGTATTTTTATTTAAGAATGCAAGACATGAATACACGAACATCAATTCCAAATACAGGCAAAAGCTAAATACGCCAAATGCCATACTCGATATTTTTTTGTTTACACAGACCCGCTTTGGTCATTTGCATATGCATGGTTCTCTTGTATCCACTCAATGAAATTGCAAAGGTTTTGATGCGAGAGTCCTCCTGGATTGACACTGCTTGTAACCTTGTGTTTAATTTCTAACGCCTTATCTTTGAATGATTCGTCCCTGAAGAGCTGTTCTACCTTAATTTTTATTTCCTCTTTACTGATAACTCCCTGCTCATCTTTTCTGAACCCCAACCCAGTCTTCCATATTTCACAAATGATAGTTTCATTGAGAATTTGATCGGTAAAGTATGGCCAACACAAGAAAGGGAGACCATTGATCACCCCTTCTAAACTAGAGTTCCAACCACAGTGAGTCATGAAGCAAGCTACTGAAGGATGCGCTAAGACCTTCTGTTGAGGTGCCCAACTAACAATTTTTCCACGAGATTCAACTCTTTCAACATATCCATATGGGAAAGTTGTTGTAGTCTCTTTTACCATGCCTGTTCTCACAACCCATAAGAAGGATTTGCAACTATGTTCAAGACCAAGTGCAAGTTCTTTAAACTGCTTTTGGTTCAAAATAGTGATACTCCCAAATGCTATATAAATGACTGAACATGCTGGTTGTTGATCAAGCCATTTTAAGCAGGTGGAGTCTTCTTGCCAGAAATGGCCTGTTTGGTTAGCAAGTCGGTTGCTTGCTAACAAAGGGCCTATCGGCAACAACTGTGGGAACTGGTTGAAGGTTGCAGGCTCTAACTCGACACTTGAGTTGCATATTACCCTTTCTGCTAACATGGCACCTTCTGCAACTCCTATTGCAAATTGAAAAGAAAGTTCAATTGTGGTCACGTCACCAGCTGACATCCAGGGGAGATTAGAGGGTTTTATAGGTGGCATGGAGTCTGAGAGGTGAATCATATCATCATTTAGAGGTGTACCTACAAAGAAGATTCATGAAATATTACAAATTTTACTTATGAAAAAGAAAGTTTTGCAAATCTTACCATCTTTGTTTATGACTTTATCATCAATCAACTTCTGGGAGCACATCATGGTGGCTAGTGTAGTAGCTGCGGCAGGCCAGAAGGCTGCTCTTTTCATTCCCATTTTCTTTGCAACTCGTAAGGCCCATCCCATGGAATCATCAGCAATAATACATGTCACTTTGTTGCTATCTTTTTTGTTAATCATCTCTACAAGTTCTTCCAACTTGCTAGGCATAGACTCTACTATCGATTTGGCTAACTTACTTTGGTCATTCCTGTTCTCCCATGGTTCTAATCCATCAGGGATTGAAACCATATTCATTAGATCCATAGAACCATCATTTTGTACCAAGTTGCTTGTTACGACTTTGTGAATAGCCTCTGTGTTTACGAAAGTGACTTTGAGACCATCTTTGACTAAGCGTTGAGCAAGCTCCATTGTAGGAATTACATGGCCTTATGCGGGATAAGGTATAACTAGAACATGGTGTTTTGCCATGATATTCTAATAGAGTTTTTGAAAGTTGTTGATGGTTTCTTTACTTCTTTGTTGGATCATTTGAATAGATAATCATGCTTGAGGCGTGGCTTTATTTTGTGGTGTATTGAGCATTTTGTGGTTTTGCCTCATTAATATGTCGCAATCACAGCTTTATAAGCATCCATAATAATTGAGGTAGTTTGAAAAGGCCCTGGCCAGTACCATTCCATGATGATGTTTGGTCACTTTGGAAAACGAGTTATTAATTCATGTTGTATATGACATGTAGGAAAAAACGATGAATGGAATGAATTAAATGATAATGAAAAAAAATACTCTAGTAACACAAAATGTATATGTGTTTTACAAGTATTTTTTTTTATCATGATCCACTGTAAATATAAATATTTTATATTAGGGCATGGATATTAAATTAAAAAAAAATGAGAATTATCATATTATTAATTTGTAACATTCGTATTTTCAGCAAGTATTGACCATGTGTATTTTATGATGTTATTTAAAATAATATCTATTATATATTTTGATAATGTTCGGTAATCAATATAGTAGTAGGTGTAATATCCATGTACATATTATATGGGTTAATTAAAAAAAATTAAATATAAAAATCTAAATATTTAAAAACTTTGGATTTATAAGAAAATAAGAAAAATAATGAATTATTAAAATTGATCTTTTTATCTTTTAAATTTAAATAAATAAAAAAATAAACTAATAATCTTTAATTTATGAATTTTGAAATAAGAAGGTAAGTCTATTAATGAAATTGATATTCATTTATTACAACATTTATTGTAATTATTATATTAAAGTATTATGTGAAATTTATTAAAATAAAAAACCCCATAAAATAAAATATGAAAAAAAAATTAATTCAAAAAAACCATAAAATGATATTTGATAAATTGAATGAGAGTGTGACATGTGGCAAAAAATCTTCATTTACTATACTAGATTGTTTCGTAACTTATTGACATATATTTTATAGATACAACTTATATAATACCCACTTAAAAGACTATTAATTTCTAATATATTTTAATTTATTACTAATTAAATATTAGAAATTACTAACACTCGCAACGTGTAAAACTTAAAGCTTCGAGTGCATCTTTCAGTTTTTCCTTCAAATGCATCACATTGGGGCTAACTGAACCAGGTTCGACGATCATGAGTACGAGTGACGACTTGTCTTCCAACAATCCTCGTCAAACATGTAAAGAAAAAAAACAAGATTACTGAGTCACAAGGAAGATCTGGTGGCTTATGTTGAGTGTGGAACCCTCTTCTTTTCAAACAGGTGAATGTCATCAGGAATCCTAATTATATACTTCTTTCTGGCTACTGGAATGGTATGGATGGTGTGTTAAACATTCTCAATGTCTATGCTCCGGTTGATGACGGGGATAGAAGGACGTTGTGGATGAATCTGCTTGCGGTCATTAATTCTTTTGATGGTTGTTGGCTAGTGATGGGAGATTTCAATGAAGTGAGAAACAAATCAGAGAGACTATCCAATCTTGGGAGTGAAGCCTCTATGGATGAATTCAACTCGTTCATTCTTAATGCTAAGTTGTTTGAGTTTAAATTGGGGGGTCGTAAATTCACTTGGATAAGTGAAGACGGGAAATCCTTAAGTAAACTGGATCGCTTCCTTGCGTGTGGAACCTTTATGAGTATTTGGGGTATGGCTGCTGCTACAATTCTTCCTAGAATATTCTCGGATCACTGTCCTATTATTATTACAAGTGAACATTTTGACTTTGGTCCGAGCCCGTTTAGATTCTTTAATTCCTGGTTGTTGATTGATGGTCTAGATGACATTGTGAAAAAGGCTTGGGATCATTCGTCTCCTTCTGGTACTTCTGACAGAAGGCTTGCTAGGAAACTCTTGGCAGTTAAGCGTGAGCTAAAGAAATGGAGAATGGAGGGGAGAAAAAAGGAGTTAGAAGAACAGAATCAATTGTTGCATAAAATTGATTGTATGGAAATTGCAGTTGAAGATAGGCCCCTATCGTCTCCTGAGAGGGCCAATCGTCGATTATGGAAGCAAAGAGTGTTGGAGATTGACCTAATTCACAGGTTGGATCTCAAACAGAAGGCCAGGCTAAAGTGGGAGGTGGATGGAGACGAAAACTCCAAGTTTTTTCACGGGATAGTTAACAACAGCAAGAGAAAAAATCAGATTCATGGGCTATCTATTGATAGGTTATGGGTGAGGGATCCGGTAAAAATTACTAGTGCCATTTGGGACTTCTTTTCTGATAAGTTCAATGAGCCCATGAGAAATCGGCCTAAACTCATCAGCAACAGATTTAAGAAGATCTCGTGTGAAGATAGAGAAGCCATGACTATTTCCTTTTCTGAGGCTGAAATCAAGGATGCGGTTTGATGTTGTGGGAGTGATAAGGCGTCGGGCCCGGATGGTTTCACCTTCAATTTTTTGAAGCACTATTGGGACTTAATAAAATCGGACGTGTTTATGTTTGTTAGAGACTTTGAGAGCTCGGGGGTGTTGGCTAAAGGTTGTAATTCTTCCTTTATTTCTCTAATTCCTAAGGTTAAAGATCCTCTTTACCTTAAAGACTACCGGCCGATTAACCTGGTGGGTTGCTTATATAAAGTTTTATCGAAAGTGCTTGCTAATCGCTTGAAGAAGGTGTTGGACAAGGTTATCAGTCAGGAACAATCGAATTATGTTGGTGAAAGAAGCATACTAGACGGTCCCCTTATGCTCAATGAGATGGTTGCTTGGACTAAAAAAGTAAAGAAAAAAGCTTTCATTTTCAAACATGTAAAGAAAAAAAAACAAGATTATTGAGTCACAAGGAAGATCTGGTGGCTTATGTTGTGTGTGGAACCCTCTTCTTTTCAAACAGGTGAATGTCATCAGGAATCCTAATTATATACTTCTTTCTGGCTACTTGAATGGTATGGATGGTGTGTTAAACATTCTCAATGTCTATGCTCCGGTGGATGAATCTGCTTGCGGTCATTAATTCTTTTGATGGTTGTTGGCTAGTGATGGGAGATTTCAATGAAGTGAGAAACAAATCATAGAGACTATCCAATCTTGGGAGTGAAGCCTCTATGGATGAATTCAACTCGTTCATTCTTAATGCTAAGTTGTTTGAGTTTAAATTGGGGGGTCGTAAATTCACTTGGATGAGTGGAGACGGTAAATCCTTAAGTAAACTGGATCGCTTCCTTGCGTGTGGAACCTTTATGAGTATTTGGGGTATGGCTGCTGCTACAATTCTTCCTAGAAGATTCTCGGATCACTGTCCCATTATTATTACAAGTGAACATTTTGACTTTGGTCCGAGCCCGTTTAGATTCTTTAATTCCTGGTTGTTGATTGATGGCCTAGATGACATTGTGAAAAAGGCTTGGGATCATTCGTCTCCTTCTGGTACTTCTGACAGAAGGCTTGCTAGGAAACTCTTGGTAGTTAAGCGTGAGCTAAAGAAATGGAGAATGGAGGGGAGAAAAAAGGAGTTAGAAGAACAGAATCAATTGTTGCATAAAATTGATTGTATGGAAATTGCAGCTGAAGATAGGCCCCTATCGTCTCCTGAGAGGGCCAATCGTCGATTATGGAAGCAAAGAGTGTTGGAGATTGACCTAATTCACAGGTTGGATCTCAAACAGAAGGCCAAGCTAAAGTGGGAGGTGGATGGAGACGAAAACTCCAAGTTTTTTCCCGGGATAATTAACAACAGCAAGAGAAAAAATCAGATTCATGGGCTATCTATTGATAGGTTATGGGTGAGGGATCCGGTAAAAATTACTAGTGCCATTTGGGACTTCTTTTCTGATAAGTTCAATGAGCCCATGAGAAATCGGCCTAAACTCATCAGCAACAGATTTAAGAAGATCTCGTGTGAAGATAGAGAAGCCATGACTATTTCCTTTTCTGAGGCTGAAATCAAGGATGCGGTTTGGTGTTGTGGGAGCGATAAGGCGCCGGGCCCGGATGGTTTCACCTTCAATATTTTGAAGCACTATTGGGACTTAATAAAATCGGACGTGCTTATGTTTGTTAGAGACTTTGAGAGCTCGGGGGTGTTGGCTAAAGGTTGTAATTCTTCCTTTATTTCTCTAATTCCTAAGGTTAAAGATCCTCTTTACCTTAAAGACTACCGGCCGATTAACCTGGTGGGTTGCTTATATAAAGTTTTATCGAAAGTGCTTGCTAATCGCTTGAAGAAGGTGTTGGACAAGGTTATCAGTCAGGAACAATCGAATTATGTTGGTGAGAGAAGCATACTAGACGGTCCCCTTATGCTCAATGAGATGGTTGCTTGGACTAAAAAAGTAAAGAAAAAAGCTTTCATTTTCAAACATGTAAAGAAAAAAAAACAAGATAATTGAGTCACAAGGAAGATCTGGTGGCTTATGTTGTGTGTGGAACCCTCTTCTTTTCAAACAGGTGAATGTCATCAGGAATCCTGATTATATACTTCTTTCTGGCCACTGGAATGGTATGGATGGTGTGTTAAACATTCTCAATGTCTATGCTCCGGTGGATGAATCTGCTTGCGGTCATTAATTCTTTTGATGGTTGTTGGCTAGTGATGGGAGATTTCAATTAAGTGAGAAACAAATCAGAGAGACTATCCAATCTTGGGAGTGAAGCCTCTATGGATGAATTCAACTCGTTCATTCTTAATGCTAAGTTGTTTGAGTTTAAATTGGGGGGTCGTAAATTCACTTGGATGAGTGAAGATGGGAAATCCTTAAGTAAACTGGATCGCTTCCTTGCGTGTGGAACCTTTATTAGTATTTGGGGAATGGCTGCTGCTACAATTCTTCCTAGAAGATTCTCGGATCACTGTCCCATTATTATTACAAGTGAACATTTTGACTTTGGTCCGAGCCCGTTTAGATTCTTTAATTCCTGGTTGTTGATTGATGGCCTAGATGACATTGTGAAAAAGGCTTGGGATCATTCGTCTCCTTCTGGTACTTCTGACAGAAGCCTTGCTAGGAAACTCTTGGCAGTTAAGCGTGAGCTAAAGAAATGGAGAATGGAGGGGAGAAAAAAGGAGTTAGAAGAACAGAATCAATTGTTGCATAAAATTGATTGTATGGAAATTGCAGCTG